ATGTATGTATGTATGTATGTATGTATGTATGTATGTATGTATGTATGGATGGATGGATGGATGGATGGATGGATGGATGGATGGATGGATGGATCTTTCTTACACCTAGATGCAGTCGCACACTAAAATGGAAATCAGTACTTCACTCGTTTTTCAAGTTATCTAACAACATACATGGAGGGACAGACAGAGGGTATTTCCAATTCCCCCTTTTCTCTGAAATGGGGGGAAATTAACTGAAATTAATTGATTTTCTAATGTCCACATGTGATTAAATATTTGGGTTTATGAGATTTCCAAATCTTTGCCTTCTGTTTCCATTTCCATGCTAGAAGCCTGAACTTCTTTCTAATCCAGGTTGTATAATCAACAGAGAAGCAGGAACGAGACATTCGTACAGGACTCCTCGTGCAGGTACCAAAGGCGAGCACACATGGATCTTCAGTTCATGTTTGGACACTAGCTTTTATACAGTAGTTTGTAAATATTTCTCAAGTGAAACAAACCTTTTTAAACCAGCTGTTTGGAGTGATTCACACGGTTTAATTGTCGAGGAAAATCAACACAACAACTCAGCCTGTTCAGCCTATTCACCTGTTATTCAATAAATGTAGTCCTGTAAAAGTCAAAACAAGTTGGAGATGGAAAAGCAAATCAAACTACTGCCTCGTATTGCAGTACTTTAATGAATGTAGTTTGATAGTTTCCAGCACTGAAAGAACCTAAATGTTGAAGTTCTGCTTTCTTTTCTTATTTAAACATTTAGTTGAAGTTTAGAAGGTTCAGCTCAGAAACCTCACAACAATCTTCCTCCACAGCATGACTGAACACATGGCTCATTATATGACAACCATGAGTGAACTAAGAAAAAGCACAAAAGGCAACAACGTTGGGAACAAATGTGAAAGATGAATGAAGACGTAGGGACAGAGATGTTGTCCAACCTGTTGGTCCAGGTAGTCCAGGTTACGCTGGAGCTGAAGGTCTAATATGTCCTCCTGAGCCAAGTAGCAGAAAAAAGCAGGAAAATTCCACAGATTTAAACAGGAAACACTTGATTCACACGGAGTCTGTCTTCAGTTAGTTTAGCTAGTTGTGTGTTAATGTGTTAATGGAAACAAACGGAAACTTAGAACATGTGGATGTTTTGGTGTTTTGGTGGTGTGCAGCAAGGACATGAAGTTGTTTCCTCATCTTAATCTGCATCATCTTGAAATGAAATCCCTCCTGACGTGGTCAGTGCTCTACTCTGCAAACATCTGGTTTAACATCTGTTCTTCAGTTAAAAATAACAGCAGCTAATCCATTCACTAAAATCTAATCTGGAATTCCAATAGGAAATATGTCTTTAAATAAAAACAAAAAAATTTCAGGTGCAGAACTACTGTTGTATGTCCATCTGATGTAAAAATTGTCAAAAAATGTGTTTACGGTTTAAAAAAAATTAATAAATTAAGCAACACACTTTTTTTTTTACACACACAAAGAACCTGTCTTGGACATAAAAATGAGTTGGGAACAAAAAGCTCCTGACAGACAAGGCTCCAACAGATTAGATGTCTGAAGCGTGTACATGTACACGTACCGTGGGAACGTGGACGGAAGGGGATACAGGGTAGCTGGGGTGGTATAAGCCTTGACTTAATGACCTTCGTTCACCGGGGTACATGTACTAAACGCAGACAGGTTAGAGGAAGAGGTTAGACGTGTTAGGAAGTAAGAAGACTGGAAAAGTCAGATGTGTCTTTAGCCTGGCCTTACCTTTGGTGAACTGATGGACTTTCTTAGACCGTATGAATAAGGATTGGCATAGATCATGTCCTCTCTCGTCCTTCCTGGGAACCGATCAAAGTACATGGAAGGAGTTCGAGCAGGTGAGGTAAAACTGGGAGGAATGGGGGAGTATGGTCCCCCTGACGACAATGAAGGAGACCTGGGCACAGATCTGGAGCGAGGCTGGATGGACAATCGTCTCATGGATGGTTCCATTCCACCATAATGTTGTGACCCCCACGAGTCTCTGGGCAACTGTGGTCCGTCCCTCAGAGAACGACGCTCCAGAGTCCAGTGTCGATCGTACCCCATCACAGGAGAAACAGAGCTGATGCTGTCTGGTCTCATTCCTGGGGGATAAAGAGGGTACTTGTCTGCATACTGGGAGCCAAGAGAGTGTCTGTAGTTCTCAGATGAGACCCCTCTACTGACTGGGTAGTAATGAGATGGACTATGAGGACAGAAAAAAACAACACAAAGGGAAAGTTTTACCAAAGGTAGAAACGAAGACTGAATGTGTGATTATCTACTGACTACTCCACATTGTTAGTTTAAATGTTTTTCTTACTGAGCTGGTATATGAAGGAGCAGATATTCTGCACACACAACATTGCAAAACTTGTTCCATGCTCAGTACAGTCCATGCACAGTCAGTACACAGTAATACACAAACAATACATGGTAAATACATTGTGGATTTACAGTTCTGATGTCCAGACACACGGAACAGAAATGTTTCATTGTACGTTCAAGAAAACAAGCAGATGCTGATGTCTCCCATATCTGAGGGATTTCAATAGCAAATGTAGTTTCTCGTATGAATGTTTTTTTAAGGTTTTCTGGACTGAAATTGAACTGGGAATGTAAGTAAGCCTTAATGTTTTTGGTGCAAGACATTCAACACTGGAGAAGAACAATGTGGCTTTTGCTAGGACTTTTTGGTCAAAGTTTATGGATGTTTTTAACTACAATGGTTGAGAATGTTAACTCTGCCCATGAACCATATGATTGGGTTAACAGAAAGCTGAGTGAGGAGTTGGGTGAGGCTGCTTTGTGCAGCTGTTTCTCCAAGGACGCCTCCACGTCTGTAAGCTCGGCAAAACAAGCGTCACACACTGCCTGTGGCAGATTCTTATGACTGGGCTTCATATGTGTACTTCCACTATATCAGTGTGTACTTTCTGTATATCTGTGTGTACTTCCTGTATATCTGTGTGTACTTCCTGTATATCTGTG